GGCTTTAACTTTAAGCTGCTCACTGGTAACTCTATGCGTTCTCGGAGAGACAGAGAGAGAGAGAGACTGAGAGATGAAGGCAAGTCTAGAAGTAGAGAAGGTGACACTGGTACCTTACATGAGAGAGCATGTCCCAAAGTACCATGAATGGATGCAAGACCCTTTTCTCCTCCAAGCTACTGGTTCCGAACCCCTCTCCCTTGATCAAGAATATGAAATGCAACTTTCTTGGACCCAAGACCCATTAAGTATGTATGCCTTCCATTTTTTAATTGAAATTTCACCTTCTGTATTACTCTATGTTTGAGAGATAGATACCCTCTTGATTATTGCTGAAGAAAATAGCTACCTTTGCCCTGAATTACTGTTTTTTACTTACCCTTTTGATTATTAATGAAAAAAAGGAAGCTATCTTTGCCTTAAATACTCTTTCCTTAGTTAAATCAAGAATATGATATGCGGCTTTCTGTTTCCGATTGAAATTTCACCTCCCATGTATCTTTGTTGATTTTTCTTTTGGGTTTCTAAAATTAAAGTGCTAATCTTTAACGTTTTGGAGGGTAATCTGGTACTGAAAGATAGTGCATTATTGAAGACGAAAATATCTTTGCCTGAATTACTGTTTCTAGATGAATCAAGAATACCTTTACCCAAGACCCCTCAAATTTTTCTGATAACCAAAAAATGCCAAAAGGCTAGTGGCGCACAGTTCGAAACACGGTGGATAATAGGGTTCATCCTTTATCCTTCTCCACTTAAATGCAACGGTTTTTGCGTGCGGCAGTGTTCGAGCTATGGCGAGGGCCTATTACACATCTCGTGTGGTGCTCTTACCACTAGAGTAAAGCCCTTAGGTTAATACCCCTTAAGTATGGCTTTCATTTCTATTTCTGAATGAAATTTCGCTTTCTCTGTTTCCTTGTTTCCTTTTTGGTTCCAAATATAGAAACTGTGATCTTTTAACGTTTTGGAATGTATTAATGCTGAGAGACGGTGACCCCTTTTTATATTAGGGAAGAAAAACCCAAATTACTTTATTAAATTTTTTCTATAAGGCACCTGAATTACTATTTTTTGTTGAATTGAGGAAAAATGCAATGTCAGGACCAATTATAAGTTTGATTTATAGATTTGCTTGCTGACCTTGTACTCTAAGTCGGATGGTAGATTTAAGTGGTAACTCATTCCTGAACTGTGGCATTTCTCGGCTTTTGATTGGGCCAGGAAGGACTAAATAGTGATATGCTGGAAATTTAATGGGTTTTTAGTTTATTTTTTTTCATGTAGTTCTTATGAATATTATTGGAAATGCTTTCTTAATGGCAGAGCAGACTTTCATTGTGTTGGACAAGGAACTAATTATTGGAAAATTCATTCCTGGAGAACCCCATGTTGAAGGTTGCATTTCTTCTTTAATTCTCAACTACCACTAGATTAATCATTCCATGTAGCTTTATTTCAACGTTAATGTTATATTGGTTTTATCTATATGATTTTTGATCAGCACGGGACGTGTGATCATTTACTGTATATGGCATACTAAGATATGAAGCTCTTTCGATTAGGATCTGAATTTTTCTGCAACTAGTTGACTTTTTTCTTTTCATATTTTCTTAATGGTTTTTGCAACCTTTTTTTGTTGATAAAGTGGCTTTTACAAGTTTAAGTAGGTAATAATATTTTCACAATGAAAAGAATGGAGGTTGACTATATGTGCGCCCAATTTCATGTGAATGTCCATATGGTAAAGTTAATAGAGATGTAGGGAAATTGCTGTTGGTTCCAATTGGTTGTCCGAAAATGATCGCTAGTGCAAGAGGACCTGTTTCTTCTGTATTGATATATGATTCTTAATTGTTTGCTTTCTGACAGCCATGATTGGTGATGTGAACATATACATGAATGACTTGGATGATCCCCAAATGGCTGAAGTTGAGATTATGATAGCTGAACCGAAGAGGTACACATGCTTTTATATCTCCGATTTGCTTCATTGTCTTTTAATGTTGTGTCACTAGTTGATCCGTTCTTCTACCTTAAAAGCACTTTTTCTTTTGCAATATTAGGTTCCTATAGTTTTGATTTTGGAGTGAAAATTGGTCTGTCATTGAGGGATAATTATGACTTGTTTCTCAAAAGCTATTTCACCAGTAAGGATTAAGACGAAAAAGCATTTACAGGGTTAGCTATTGGGTTTTCCTTAGCCTCTGTCCCGGGTCTCTCTGTTCTTTGATTGAGAGAAAACTGCACAAATCATTGCATGAAATTTTCTTGTGTCTTTTGAGCATGGAAAATGTATGAAGTGGATGGACACGATGCGGAGATGTGGATGCGGAGATGGATGTGTGGTTATACTAGGAGGGAGTAGATTAGGAATGAAGATATTCAAGATAAGGTGGGAGTGGCCTGTGTGGTGGACAAGATGCAGGAAGCTAGCTGAAATAGTTCGGGCACGTGAAGAGGAAAAGCATAGATGCTCCTGTGAGGAGGTGTGAGAGGTTGGCTATGGCGGGTTCAAGGAGGGGGTGTGGTAGACCGGAGAAATATTGGGGAGAGGTGATCAGACAAAACATGACATATCTTCAGCTTACCAAGGACATGATCCTTGATAGGAGGGTGTGGAGGTCGAAGATTAGGGTTGTAGGTTAGTTAGTAGTCGAGCGTATTTCCTTTCCAAACATGTACTTCCTTCCCTAGCTATAGTACTAGTGTTATCCTTGTGTTCCTTATTTTTAGATCAATATACCTAATGTTTCCTTTGATTCGTTTTTATTTTTTCTGGTTGTTGTTACTATTTCGTTTTCTGTAGTTCTTTGTCATAACTGCTGTGATTTTGCTTTATTGAGCCGAGTCTTCCGGAAACAATCTCTCTACCTTCGCAAGGTAGGGGTAAGGACTGCGTACATACTACCTTTTCCAGACCCCACTTGTGGGAATATACTGCGTATGTTGTTATTGTTGTAAGAAGCTAGAATGCCTTTCTAGTGCTTCTAGGCCTCTGGCTAATAGTTCTTACTTTCGGGCCGACGCTGGATTCTCAAGTGCATCAGAGGTTCACTTGTTCGGCTTGTTATCTCTTCTTTTTTTTTTGTAAGCATCTCCACTTCATCCTTTCTCATGCACATCAGTTTCCTGTTTCATCTGTAATGTATGAAGCAGCTGAAATCTGTATTGCTTTTTCTGATTCTGAAACTTATTTCTGATAGCTCAAAGACTGAATCACCACTACTAGAATTTCATTTCTTTGGAAATCCATGAGAAACTATTTGCGTATCTCTTTTTTTCCTGGCTCCAGCACACGTTACGCGTATGATTATTTTGTTGCTCTTATTGATAGTTCGTCATTTACATCCTTCTTATGTGCGGGCCTTTTCATGGGTTTATCAAAAATAGCCTCTCTACTCCTCCGGAGTAGGGGTAAAGTCTGCGTACACACTAACCTCCCCAGACCCCCACTTGTGGGATTCCACTGGGTTGTTGTTGTTTTATGTGTGGGCCTTTTATTTATTATGATTTCAATGCATGCTTTCAGTTGTCTCTTAAAATCTTTAGATGACATGTTGAACTTTAACAGTAATCTCTGTCAATGATGTATTTCTCATACTTCCCTGTATGTTTCAAGTTTGATGTATTTCTTACACTTCTGTGCATGTCACAAGTTTGTTTTTATTTAATTGCTTGTATCTTGTCAATGTCCCTACAGATTTTGTATCTCTCTGACTAGTTTTCAGTTTCTTATGGTGCTCTTTGCTAGTACAGTCGTGGCAAAGGGCTTGGGAAGGAATCTGTTCTCATGATGATGGCATTTGCTGTTGACAATTTCAAGATACATACCTTCCGCGTCAAAATTGGAGAGTTAAATCAAGCCTCTCTCGGTCTATTCCAAAAATTGGTATCTCTCTGTGAACCCCAACTCATGCACATCAATGTGATCCTTTTACATGTAAATTTGGTTAAAAAAGAACATGTAAATTTAGATGTACAGAGCTGACAGTCTGACAAGAAAACTCAAATGCTTTTGCAGGGTTTCAAGGAGACCTCTTACAGTAAAATCTTCAACGAGGTGAGTGGAGAGTTCTCTTTTTCATTTTCTCAATAATGAATTGTTGGCTGATCCGGAGACATCCTCGGGCCCTTGTGGGTTAAATACTCCTCAAATGAAAGTTCAGTGGATGAAATCTTAACACCTTTGTGCAAAAATTACAACTTAAACTGTTTTGCGTCTATGTTAGTAAAGGAGTTCAGGCTTTGTAAATCTTATACTTGTCAACGTAGTCCAAAAAGGAGGCTTAATTAAAATCTCCTTTTAGCCAAGTTGCCCTCTTGTTCTTTTGGCTTATTCAGTTGAGTTGTTGACATCTAAATTAAAATATGTTGTGCAGATGACGTTGGAGTTGTCAATGACTGAGTCAAAGATTTGTGAGTTACATCAATTAATTGGCAATATGGTTACACATTCATAGCACCCGAAGACACCTTGTGTGTGCTGATGACAAAGTCAATGTGCGGTGAGCTGCATCGGTTAATTGACAACATGGTTATACGTTCATATTACCCAGATAAACCATCTCCTGCAGTCTTGGAGGGTGTTGAGTATATTATATGATGATTAGTTTCATCCAAAGATTGTTGAATCAACGTTTGCGATTTCTACTGATTTTTCACTAGTTAAATCTTATCCAGGTGTTCCTCCCTGTTATATTTTTTCAGAAAGTCACCTTGACATATGATAAAATGAAAACACCAAATGTTAGAATGTGGACTAGTTTGTGTCTGCCTCGTGCTTAAACAAACAAGAGTTAGATGACAAAGAAGGCATGAGCAGAGTCGGATGATTATAGAGATGACCTTTTTATGCCTGAAAAATAGGCGCAACTTCTTTCACAGCAATTTGCGTGAAAACTTTTATTTGGACCTGATATAAATTACTGGATGAAACCAAAAGATGGCTATTTATTCATTTCTTTGATAAGTCAAAAAACAAAGATGACTATATTTTCTCAGGCAGTTGTCTGAAAATCTATTTTGCCAAATGAGTGAAGGTGTGGGGATGATAATGAGTGCATCTGAGGGATGTTACTTGAGACTGAGCTTCCAGCTTGCCACACATGATTTACTGTAGTTCCATTATCCAGTGGCCCTATAGTCGCAAAGATAATCATCTCACTGCTCGAGTATTCTGCAGATAGATGTGAAACTTGAAAGCTAAGATTTGCTTTCAGCATTGATGGACTATAACTTGTTATTTGTGTTGTATGAGCTATTGTGCTGCCATTTGAGTTATGGAAAGCAACTAATGCTTGTGATCCAATCATGCCTTGTCCAGTAGGGTTGGTAGCCCACGCTACCCAACCCGTAGAATCTTGTTTAGCTCTATATGCAATTGAAACTTTTGTGCTGGAGAAATTGTAGTTCCAGTGCAAGTAGGCTTCTAAATATGGAAGTTTTTTGCAAGAGGTGAATGTTCTATTGGCTGTGAAAGTGTAGTTTGAACAGTTTTGAGCAGAGGTAACAAGAAAAAGAAGGCTGAATAGCAGTACTGGTGTTAAGCTTGGTGCCATAGTGCCAGATTATTTTCTTTCCCTGCGCTAAAAATAAAACCTGTGGAAAGCACTGCAAGACCAATCGGGCTGCACATTTGAGGATTCAATATGAAACAGAAAGGCGTTTCTTTCCGGAAACTAGGACTGAGGCCAGTAATAGCAATTACTGCGGTTGTTGGCAAGTATTTTGTACTACTAATGTGTCTCAAAAGAACACCTAAGATAAATCAGGTAGAAAATGGGATGCAAGATAAATCATAGCAACAGAGGAGAATTAAGTAATGACTTTGTTGACTGATTCAGTGACTTTTCATACTTTCGATACCTAGTTTTTATACAACAATCACTTCTTTAACATTGTTATTTTCAATGTTTGTGTTTCGTTTTTATCAAACCCCCAATACATCTACTTAGTTTTTACCCAACAATCAGTCTTCAACCGTTTTGTCTTCAATGTTTGTGTTCGTTTTTCATCGAATTCTCAAGCCACTATCACATGTGGTTTCAATAGACTTTTCTTTCTTTGGTTGTTCAGATGTTTTAGTTCACTAAGTTGAAAAGATTTAGGGGTCGTTTTGGTAGGATGCATTAGAGAAAATACTGCAAACATTAGCTTTTGGTATTATTAATCCTTATTTGGTATAGTTTTTCAATCTATGTATTATTAATGCAAGTATTAGTTATACAACCTATTTAGTATTATCCCATGTATACTTAATATCTAACAAACCATGGTATTAGTAATACCAAGGCTATTAATGCATGCATTAGCATGGTTAAAGACAAAATTGTCCTTAAAACTAAAGAATATGGAGGGCATTTTTGTAAACAACTAATTTTTTTTAAAATTATACAATGCATTTTAATTTTTAATACAACACATCAAATGGTGGATAAGAAATAATTTCCGCATAATTAATGCTTGCATTACTAACTCATGCATTACTAATTCCTGCATTAGTAATACACCTTATTCAGTATTATTCTTATACACCCTACCAAACGACAATTAGGGAACTTAGATACCACTTATGCGTTAGAAATTTATAATTTATTATTAGGGCTTAAATGAGTAGGGGAAGCATTCGATGTGTTCTTCCTTGTAATTTTTTCAAAAATATACTAGTTTGATTTACAAAACTCTGCCGTTTCCCAATTAAACTTAGAAGTTGCTAATACAAAGGTTCGCTATGACACACAAAGAAGAAAGAAAAGAGTTTTCAAGAGGATTTCTAGCAAGGGATGACTTTTACAAGTTATGGTCCAAGTGTTTCCATGATTTAGATTTGTAACCAACCCAAAGAAATCCCTTGAAGGATCAGGTGTGAATTTGAAAGTGTCATTCTCATATTTCTTTATGTTGCGCCTTACTTTGAAATAATTCTGGTTTAATGACTCACCTATTTATAGAAGATGAAGCTGTGCGTCAAAATAAGCTGCTGCCTAGACAATTACAAAAATATCTTTTCAATGATTACTCCAACCAAAAAAAAAAAAAAAAAAAAACCCAA